GTTACATATCAAATTCAAACTATATTTTTCTTTTAACATTTAACAATTAACACAAAGCAATTCTCTCTCCTTTTGGGTTGAGTAATTGAAAAGACTGGGAAATGTTGCCGGGGGTTGTAGGCAATGCAATGCCAGTCTTCATGTATTTAAGTATAGCAAGAGAGATAAATTTCAACTGGAAGCAGAGGACACTGAAATTCATTCATGAAAACTGAAAGAAATATTTGTTGCACATCATCATTACTGTCTTTCATTAATCATTACGTCACATTAGTCTGAAGTGTTAGAAAATTTGGTTAACAAGCAAGCATTTAAGAGTTCGCAGACAAATTATTCATTCATTTAAATATCTTACTTTTAGTAGTTTTTGCGAATTTTTTACCTATATATTATTTTTTTTTTTAAAAAATTACCCAATTAATAACTGTGCAGGTTTATTTACCAAGTTAGAACCATTTACTGTTCAAGCTCAGAATTCGGTTCCCGGGAAATCGAATTCTGAGCATCAAAGTATTATTTTTTTTGTTTTTTCAACTCAAAATTCGGTTCCCGGGGAACCGAATTCTGAGTTGGTTTTATATATATATTTTTTTTTTTCGTGCATGTGAGGAAACGTGGGCAGCTGTTGGAAGCGGAACGGCTCGTTTCGAGTGACATTTCTGAAAGTGAAACGGGTCAAGAACGGGCCGTTCCAGCGTTAAGAATTAACATTGAAATAGATGTTGGAAGCGGCCCATTTTAAAGAAAATTTGTGGTCATTTTTTTTAACGTGGAACGGGCCGTTCTTGTTTTAGAACAGCCCGTTCCAAAATACAAATTTACACAATTTTTTACAAGTGGAACAGCCTTGGAACGGCCCGTTCCAGGAGGTTTTTTAACAAAGGGTTTGTGATTTAGAACGGGCCGTTCTGGTTTTAGAACGGCCCGTTCTGGGTAAACAATAAAAACGCAAGTTTTTCTATAAATAGACCCTCTCCCCTTCATTTTTTTCACACGATTTCAAATTACCTGTTCCGTGTACCCCTTTTGAATCAGTTTCTTAGAATCACGTTAATTTCCTTTAAACCTTTCATAAAATGGCTTCTTCAATCTACGTTATTGTTCATTCTGATGGTTCCATTAACCAATGTCCGAATGAAGGAATCACCTTCTCTTCTCCATCTGCAAAATTAGTTCGTATCAACAGAGGAATTACTCTAGAAAGGCTTCAAAGAGTCATCCACAGAAAGCTACATCGACAAGATTCTGAGAGGGTGGCTAGCATACATTTTCGGTACCCTATTAGACTTGGCCCAGGGGTTAGTAACTATACCTGTGTTGAGTTGACGGATGATGAAGACGTTGAGGCACTTTTCAATGTTCACGATTCTAATCAACTTCAATCAGGTATTGAATTATATGCTACATTTACTACAGTTGAATCACATGCACCACAAGTTTCACCTTCACGTTCACCTTACGAAGTTTATCAAAGTTACCAGTACACTAACCCATCTGGCCCTTCTTATGATATCCCCTCCAACTACAACATTGAGTCATACACACAGCTTTTAAGTGGTCCAATCATGGACCTTAACCAAATACCTTCTCAGCCATTTGAGCAAGCTAGACATTAACTTGCATTTTTACTGTTTACCCAGAACAGGCCGTTCCAAAACCAGAACGGCCCGTTCCAAAGCACAAACCCATTCGTTAAAATAGCTCCTGGAACGGGCCGTTCCAAGGCCGTTCCCGGAGTAAAAAAATGTGTAAATTTGTATTTTGGAACGGGCTGTTCTAAAACAAGAACGGCCCGTTCCACGTTAAAAAAAATGACCAAAAATTTTCTTTAAAACGGGCCGCTTCCAACATCTATTTCAATGTTAATTCTTAACGCTGGAACGGCCCGTTCTTGGCCCGTTTCACTTTCAGAAATGTCACTCTGAGCCTTTAAGCAGAACGGCCCGTTCTGCTTTCGGAACGGGCCGTTCTACTTCCAACAGCTGCCCACGTTTCCTCACATGCACGAAAAAGAAAAAAAAAACAACTCAGAATTCGGTTCCCCGGGAACCGAATTCTGAGCTTGAACAGTGAATGGTTCTAACTTGGTAAATAAACCTGCACAGTTGTTAATTGGGTAAATTTTTTTTAAAAAAAATAATATATAGGTAAAAAATTCTAGTTTTTGCTTTCAAGTCTTGTAAAAACAATTAATAATTTCTATAACGTGTCTTCTGTGGCTTTTTTGTTTTTTCATTTGGTACGCCTACATGTGAACGTTTTATTTTGTAACACAGAATTTTTTATTTTTTATTTTTTATCAGAGAATGGCCCAAAGAGAAAAGTTTAGAAATAATAAAAATCATAAACACTTGGGTTTTATTGTACTTTTTATTTTTACCTATATTTCATAATTTTATGAAGTTTATTATTTTATTTTTAAAATAACACATATTGTTACCTAATTTTTAAAATTTTATATATTTTATTACTTTATTAATTGATTGTTTATAAATGTTAATTATATTCATATAGCAAGTTGACAATTGACATGAATTGTTTATATTATATATAAATGATAGAATTACATTAATGAGGGTTGTTTTATTCGAATGGAAGGTCATAATCTTCTTTTATTCTTTGAATGGGAGAACATTTTATTTAAATACATTGTAGTTTATTTGAATGAGTGTTATTTTTATTCAAATGGAATGATATTACACAAAAGAAAAAAAGTAAAACTAGAATAGGATTGTATTGTGTAATATGTGTACTTTTAAATTGATCATGTACATACAGGTAAAAATTGGTGTTGATACCATTCATTAACTATGTTTTTACCACTTAAATATGATCTCTTGCTTGTATGAGATATGTGTGAATATATTGATATTCATAATTGCCATACATTTAAGTATATAGCTAATGAATATCTATTCCGTTCAAGTATCTAGTAAACATAACTCAATTCTTTGTGAATCTAAAATAAGTTAGATAAAATCTCGTGAGTTTGAGTATCCAAATAGACACTTCACTTTCATATTTTTTATTTTTATAATAATATTTTCATTCAAATATACATATTTTTTCAAATAAATAACATGTTTATTTAAATAAAATCATTTTTAGAAAATTATTTTGTACTATACAACAATTTTACTAGAATGGTAATATTGTAAATTTATTGTTAATTATAATTTATTTCTATCATATTTTGTTTACTTATTTCTATTCTCTTATTTTCATCTCTTTTATTTTTTTTCTACTCATTTTGTTTTTTAACTCAGAGAAGTATGTAACTACAAAAGTAAAAAACCTAGAATTCAATCGCCACACCAAGTCACCAACTCGGAAAGAGCGAGGTCTCACTAGGGCGTTGTATCTTCGAGAAGCTCGGAGCTTGCAGGCTTCTTCGTGGATTTGAGCTACGTCTCTAAGCTCGTCAACCAAGTCGAGGCTAGCTGCCAACTCTCGAGCGTTCTGCTCGCTGTTAAAAACTTGGCGTCAATGGGACGTCTCTCTGACTTCAACTGGGATCATTGCGTCAGCTGTTGCTTCATGGGCTGGATATCACTCTTTTTCTGGCTTGAACCATTTCGAGCCAAAAACAGCCAACCATCCAGGTTCAACGTTGTGACCTATATATAGTCTTGTGAAATCTGTCCGTTGCAAGTGTCCGTTGAAGCAGATATAGTCATTCTTGACTAGTTTAATCTATCATTTAATGCTTGGAATCTTGCATTAAATGTTGCTTCCTGTTCATAGACATTGCGTGAATTCTTCTTGCCTTGTTAGCAGCTATGTCTGAATTTAGCAGAGACCTAGGAACCTTTTTGTCTTTTTCTGATCACGTAGCTATGAAATGTTGTCCTTATCTGAAAAAGTGATGTACTTTTTCTAACACATGCATGCTTTTACTTCTGCGCTTGATTTTCTCTTTCTCTTCTTCTTCTATTTCTTGCACATTCATTTGAGAGCTTTTGTGTGGTCGTAGACGATGCCTTGATTTGTCCTTTGAGACTTGATTCTTTAAATGCTTGCATGGCAGTCTTCGTCTGCGTCTGTTAGTTCTATGCATCTCAAGTTTTGACCTTCGTCTTAACATTTGACATTGATGCTTTGACTTCTTTTGGTCTGGTCAACAATGTAAATGGACATACTTTGTTTTTGTCTGAAGTGTCTTTCAGTCTATGCTATCCTTTGTTTGATGTTATCATTTGTTTGATGCATAGTTGACTTTCTTCTTATTCCTAACCAACCTTCATTTGGTGTTTGATTTCCCGTCTTTTGACACTTATGTGGCTTTTCATCTATCATACGACTTTGCTTCTTCTGATCTTTATGTTGTACCTGATACTACGAAACTTCGACTGATAGTACACTTCGTCTTGTATTTGTTGTCTTTTCATTTGGCCTGAAGCTTTTCTTTCTTTATCTTGGCATCTGCACATTCTCTATTCTTCAACTTGCTTGTACTTATGTTTTTCTGAAACACTAACACACTTGTTAGAAATAATAACATGTATTATATTTGTCTCATTCAAAACCTCACTTGGAATTGCTTCGTCTTCGTCTGACTTAACATTTCAACCATAGCATGAAACCATTTAAACATATTCAGGGTTTGTGATTTTCTTATAAGAAAATACAACCAAGTGAAGTGAGTATATGCATTAATAAAGGTCACATAGTATAATTAACCATTAGAGGATGGAATCAATGCAAGACCCCAAAGATCACTATATATCAACTCAAAAGGTGAAACATAATCAATTTAAGATTGAGTATAGGGTAATCTATGTGATTTACCAAGACAACATGGTGCTCAAAAGTTAAAGTCAATGCTATTCATAATGGGAAATTATGATGGAGGACCATCCTTGAAGCATCATTTAGGGCCTATCACAAGGTCCATGGCTAGGAGAGTAGAGGAAGATGAAGAAAACACCACACCAAAGGTCATGATCATCATGTGTGTGGAATTTGAGCCCTCTCCTTAATTTGTTACTTTCTTTTCCCATTTTGCCCTTCAAATGATGATCTCCTCAAGGGTAGAAAGTGGCACACAAGGTGTTTAGGAGAAGGTAAGGTGACGCCCTAAAAAAATGGAAGGAGATGAAGGGGTGGTGTTTGGTGGTGTAACTCCTTTAGGCTAGCTCACTTCACTTAGGATGATGAAGGCCAACTAAGGAAGACCCAAGCTCACTCAAGGAAGAGAGGAGAGGATAGGGGGCCATGGAGTTCCTAGGGGACTAAGGAAAGAATAAAGAGGCACTAGGCTCACTCAATAAAAATAATTTCCAAAGTGGCTACAAAGCTGGTAATGCTCTCGAATGCAACAAGTCTGGAAACGAAAATGAGGAGGGGACCATCTGAGGTAAAATCACTATATATAAGCATTTTTATTTTATTTTATTTTACTGTTCGATGCCACGTGTCCAATTACTACTGGTTGAATCAGCGGTAATTTGACACGTGGCCACTGTAATTAATTTCTCAACCACCACCTGTGTCGTTATGGCCTATAGCGCCACAGTGTCGCTATAGGCCACAGCGCCACATTATTTATTTATTATTATTTTTTTTAAATTATTCAAAAAATTAATTTTTATCAAGTTTTATTTTATTTACGCATATCATAAAAATATATATTTATATATTTACCTATTTCTAATTTTTTTTATTTTATACATTTTTAATTTTCTATTTACGTTGTTTTTTTTTTTAAAAAGTGGCGCTGTAGGCTACAACGCCACTATTTTTCTGTTTTTTTTTAAATTATTAAAGAAATTATTTTTTATCACATTTTATATTATTTACCAATATCATAAAAATATGTACTTATAAATATTTATCTATTTCTCATTTTTCTTTATTTTATACATTTTTATTTTTGTATTTACGTTTTTTATTTTTAAAAAAGTGGCGCTGTAGCCTACAGCGCCACTATTTTTCTGTTTTTTTTTAAATTATTAAAGAAATTGTTTTTTTTATCACATTTTATATTATTTACCAATATCATAAAAATATGTACTTATAAATATTTATCTATTTCTCATTTTTCTTTATTTTATACATTTTTATTTTTGTATTTACGTTTTTTATTTTTAAAAAAGTGGCGCTGTAGCCTACAGCGCCACTATTTTTCTGTTTTTTTTTTTAAATTATTAAATAAATTGTTTTTTTTATCACTTTTTAATAATTAAAAATAAATATTTTTTTATATATGTGTCGCTTTAGGCTACAGCGACTTTATTGAAGCTGTTTAATACCGCTATGGGCTGTAGCGACACTATTAATATGACTTTCATGACTTTCCTGAAGTGTAAAAAAAGCCACGTGACATGGGTGTCGCTGTGGGCCGTAGCGACACCATTATAAACAGTCCAAAAAACGTAAATAAATTCAAAATAGTCCTATTTAAATAAATAATTTCGTCAACGACCCCATTTCACTTTGGTTAAAAAGCCAGAATTAGGACATGTATTCACCCCAATCATCAAATCAGTCACAAAGACAGTTCTAGATTGCCTATAGTTACCTTTCATACATTTGATTTGACCTACAATCATGACTTAAGGGTCGTTTCTCAAGAATACAAAATCAAGGGTAGAGATCAAACACCCCACCATATCTCTAAGTGCAGACAAGCCGCATCCCACAAAAACCTTAAAAAGCTGCCACTATCCCCTCTCTCTCTTTTCGCACTCACACATAGTTTCAATAGAATGCTGGAATGCGTCTCGTTCAAGTCCTTGACTCCCACCACCAACATTTCTTCTCTTCCTCCACCTTCCCATTCTCAATCCGAAGGTAAAGCCAAAACCAAAACCAAAACCAAAACCAAAACCACCGAAGCTGTTTGCGTAAATGTCTCACCGAATGTTTGCTTTTTTCACACTTTGCAGGGAACTCGACGGAAGAAGAAAACACTTCCGCCACAAGCCCAAATGTGTCGCGCGAATTCCAGCGGGCCGTGCAGGCCCACTCCTACAACGAGATTCGGTCCATGATCCAGGCCCCTCCGCAGGTCCACCACGTCGACGACGAGGACTCTTACCACCGCCACCTCCTCTCTCAGGTCCTCCAACCGGACTCGCACAGCGTCCGGGAAGCCCTCGCCAAATCCAAACCCCAAAGCAACCTCACGCGCCTCGTCTCCACCTACTTCGACCACAGCGAAACCGCCTCCGACTTCTGCCTCCGCCTCAGCCGCAGCGTCCGCCGCGCGCGCCTCCTCTACGCGCCGCTCTCCGACCTCCTCTCCGTCCTCCCCGACCACTCCCTCTCGCAGCCGCAGTGCGACCGCGCCTTCGACCTCTTCCTCCAGTTCGACCGCCACGACAATCCCTTCGCGCTCTCGCGCCTCCACCCGCTCCGCGACCGCTTCTCCG